GGCCTAGAAATATGCTCAGACTCTGGCATCAGATCCATCTTAGTTGCTTGCATCAACCCCTGCATCGAAATGGGATTGGAACCCGACTCCACATCCTACTCAGAATCTCAATCCGCAGCAGCCCGAACCCTCTTCGTCACACGAGAAAGCTTGGGAAAGACACCAGGGGATCCTTCCTCCATGGGCAATTGAAATTCAGGGAGACGCACACTTAGAAACAATAGATCGGCGACCAGAAACCACCGCAACGGCAGTTCCCAGTAATAAGAGTCGCGAAGGTTCCGTACCACTTGGTGCTCTCACTTTGGAGAGAAAAAAAAATTGGAGATTTGCAGCTTTATATGTCAGTAAACATATCTTTTCTCTGGATGGTCTTTTGGTGGGCACTTTTTGCATTAGGAAAAAGGGGAAAGTGGTATTTTTAGATTACTCAAACGGTTTGCATTAATTTGAATATTTAATTTAAATGTCTAGATTGAAAGTTGAGTTTTGGTAATATATGGGAAGGAGCATGATAGTTCATAGATGGATGTCCGTATGCATTCTCAATTACCTATCTAATAGCCCATACCAAATCAGAAGTCTTTGATTTGATCTTATGGTCCACATCTAATAATCCTAGAATATATCAAAGGTCTAGATTAAGTAATCTCACAAAATAGTCCTATAGAACCTAATTGCAGTGGCGAAACAAGGATTTCACGTGTGTGGGGGCCTCTTACAAATTATAAAAAATAAAAAATTCGAACTCACAATACATACGGAAAAATAGTATATATATATATATATATATCTCACATATATGAAGAATTATATTGTTTATTGGTTGCAATCATAATTGTCTTCGACAAAGGGATAGAAAAATACAATCTAAGCAAGAAAAATTGCAAGAGATAGACAAAGAGTAGCGATTTAGCAAATATCTTTAAAGCTTTTTCGCCCCATTAAACCCAATAGAAAGAAAAAATCAAAATTTCTAAACTAAAAAAAACCTTAGGTCCCTTCATGCATTCATATCATACATGAAAAAATGTTTTATGTAAAAATATTGACTAAGTATGAAAAATGATTTTTCGGAATAATCATTTTCTCAAGATAATTTTTGGCGGCTTTTATTTCTTACACATCAAATAAGAAAACTTTATTTTATGGGATTTTAGTATGAAGTATATATTGACTTGACAAACCATCATTTTTAGCCTAAATCATATTTTGTACTAAAATCGATTTTTCATATGTGGGTACATATCATTGTGCTTTAATAGGTCCGCCACAACACATGTGGGTACATATCAAAACATAAAGTTTTTGAAATAATGTACATATAGAAATACATAACAGTATATTACTTTAAAAATATATATATAAAAAATAAAAAAAAACTTGAGTAAGGGCCCGGGACCACACTGGTCTCATTGTGGCTCCTCCCCTGCCTAGTTGTATCTCAAAAAATATCTGAACTCAATCATTGATGGACCAACCAATCACTAGTTGCCATGTGGTTCAATCACACACTGCCATGTGGTGGTTATTATTTCGTTTTTCTTATTTTCCAACTTAAATACCAAGCTCGTATCGACTTCTACTAACTTTCTATGAAGTTAAAACACCAAAATTCTAACTTCAAATTTGTCAGAAATAATTTATTCTCAAATAGAATAATGGTATTTACTTGTGAAAAAATATCCGCTTACCTCAAATAGGATCGTGTACATAATAATATTCTTGAATTTTTCAGGGGCTCACAAAAGTGGCCTAAGTCGGACTCTCTTGTTAATCCATGGAATATATGGTACTCTTTCCTACTATGGGGTTGTCCCATGTGGTTTTCGTCGGAATGTTTTAACGATGCCACTGTATTCGTGCCGATCTTTGTATGCCTTTGTTAGTTTATGAATGACATCTTCTTTCTAAAAAAAAAAAAAAATCGGTTTATAATTCAAGGACAATTCGATAATTAACCCTAGTTAATCAACAACAACCCGATTTTTAGAATTGTTCTTCTTTGAGTTGAAAATGTTATATCGTTGACTTCAAAAAAGAAAATAAAACGAAAAGACCTAAGTTAAGGAAACTGAGGATGAGAGTGCATCTCCTTTCATGAATGTATCATATAGGCCAACAGCAATATTCGGTTTAGCTTAATTAAATCTGTTTTGCCTTGTTCGGATTTTAGTGTTTGGATTGGGAAAGGTTATCGCATTTACTCCTCCAGCAAAATGTCATTAAAACAAAATTATCCAATGGTGTAAATAATAAGAAAAAGAAAACTTAACTGTTTTTATATAATGCGGATAAGATTAAAATTTGACCGGAACTTGCTCAATAACAACAGATATAATCTTATTATGTTTAAATAAAAACCCAAAATCCATTTGAGTTAAACTTCATCCGGATATCAAAAGCTGTTAGGATTTTAATTAGATTTACAAATAGGGATAAGATTACAGGTGGACCCCACCTCTATTAGAGAAGTGATACACAATTTGATATAAAAATGTAGCAGCCAAGTATAGACTCTCATTATCTAACAAGTACTAGTAATCCTGCTAGACATAGGAGGTTTTGCACTATAAATATCTCATCAAACCCACCTAATTTTGCACGCTTAATTCCATCGATCCTTCCAAATCGTTTTCTCTTGTTCAATTTTTATTGCTTCAAGTAGTTTTCTTAGCTTTCTTTAGATTGATCTTTGAGTGAAAGAGAGAAAGAGTTAGAAGAAGGTAACAATGGCTGGGGGCGATATAGCTCCATCGAGTGGTGGAAAACAATACCCTGGTAAACTCACAGCTAGGGTTCTTATAACTTGTATTGTTGCGGCTACCGGTGGTCTGATTTTTGGGTACGACCTTGGAGTTTCAGGCGGTGTGACATCCATGGACTCTTTCTTGAAACAGTTCTTTCCAGCGGTTTACCAGAAAGAGTCTTCGATCAAGCCTTCCGACGATCAGTACTGCAAATTCGACAGCCAGACACTTACACTGTTCACATCTTCGCTATATTTGGCTGCTCTGGTTGCATGCGTTTTTGCATCAACAATAACCAGAGTGTGTGGTCGCAGGCTCACAATGATCTTGGGTGGAGTTCTTTTCTTGGCTGGTGCCTTGGTCAATGCCTTTGCTAATGCTGTTTGGATGCTTTATGTTGGTCGTCTACTTCTTGGTTTTGGTATTGGATGTGCCAATCAGGTACCCATGATTATCATTTTCTTTTTTGATACATAGATTATACTTTATGAATTTTAGGTTATTCGCATCCCAGTTTGTTATCTCGTGTATTTTTTACAAACCCTAATTCGTTTTTTTTATGTTCTTTTTACGCAGTCTGTGCCGATCTATGTCTCCGAAACAGCCCCATCTAAATACCGTGGTGCTCTCAACATGATGTTCCAATTGTCGATCACAATTGGAATCCTTGCTGCTGGTGTGCTTAACTATTTCTTTGCCAAGATCAAAGGCGGTGGGGAGTGGCGTTTGAGTTTGGGAGGTGCTGCGGTCCCTGCCATTATAATCATAGTTGGAGCATTGTTTTTACCTGATACACCAAACTCCTTGGTCGAGCGTGGCAAGCATGAGGAAGCCAAAGCTCAGCTTCTTAAGCTCAGAGGAGTTCCTAATGTTGATGAAGAGTTTAATGACCTAGTTGCGGCCAGTGAAGCATCCAAGTTGGTAAAACACCCGTGGTTTAGCTTGTTGAGCAGGAAATATAGACCCCAGCTTGTGTTTGCAATCGGCATCCCCGCCTTCCAGCAACTCACCGGCATGAACGTGATCACGTTTTATGCTCCTGTCTTGTTCAAAACAATGGGGTTTGGAAGCAGTGCTTCTCTCATGTCAGCTGTCATCACCAATCTCGTTAATGCTTTAGCTACATTTGTCTCAATTCTCACTGTTGATAAGGTTGGAAGGAGGAAGCTTTTCTTACAGGGTGGTTGCCAAATGCTCCTCATGCAGGTGGGTGTTGGAATTGCTATGGCTGTTAAATTTGGGGTCAGCGGCAACCCTGGAAAGTTGACACTAGGGTTTGCAGTTCCCTTGGTGCTCTTAATCTGTGTTTATGTTGCTGGATTTGCCTGGTCTTGGGGGCCTCTAGGATGGTTGGTGCCCAGTGAAATTTTCCCACTTGAAGTAAGGTCTGCTGCTCAGGCTATCAATGTCTCCGTCAACATGATCTTCACCTTTGCCATAGCCCAAGTCTTCACAGCCATGCTCTGCCACATGAAGTTTGGCTTGTTCTTCTTCTTCTCAGTCTGTGTGGTGGTGATGAGCATTTTCATCTACAAATTGTTGCCCGAAACGAAAGGAGTTCCGATTGAAGAAATGCACAGAGTGTGGGAGAATCATCCATATTGGCGGAAGTATGTCGTTAAAGATGAAGGCATTGCCATGGGCAAGAGCAAGGGAGGACAAAGTGCCTAAAGTTTATTTTTGTTTTAGATTTTCCCTATGTTTTATAAATTTCTGTCAACTTTTTAGGTTTAATTTCGGTCTGGAAAATTTTGTTGGATATAAGATTTTTTATTCATTTTTTTTTATTTTTACACATGCATAAGTCTTGAGTTTTTATTTCACTAAGCGGTGTCTCCGCTCGATTGGTATATGAGTTATATATAAAACGAGTGTAGGCTAGTTTTTCTCCTAGAAATTTTTTTCTGATCGGTCTTCTTGCAACTTTTTTTTTACTGATCATGTGCTTCTTAAATTCCCTTTCGTCCTTGCAAGTGTGTTTTGCCTTGAGAGTTGCTAGTATTATACTAAAAAAATGCACCTCTTTGTTCACAACATGATTAACGAATATCATATTCAAAATCATTCATATATATATATATATATGTTACTTCCCTCCCCATAAGAAGAAGTTTTGCATTATATTGACCCAAAAAAAGTTTTGCATTATAAAAGTATTTTGAGGGGCCATGGCGCCGTAGTTTGACCGGGCTAGAAGACATATGGCGGCTTCTTTTTGTTGCCGTCGGTACCTGCTGCATAGCTGTCAAACTTGAGCTTCTCGATCTCTTTACCATTTTTCTAATGAAGCAATTGGAATACTCTCATCCATTAATAGCCACCTCCACCGCACACCTCTTCCACCCCAATCCCATTAGTCCTTGAAGCTTCTCACTTCAAATATTATATTTCTCCCTCCCTCTATATCGACTCTCCTCTAAGTCTAATGGCTTCCACTTCAACCACCAAAAAAGAAATAGCCTCAGAGCTCCTTCCCCTTATCAGAGTCTACAAAGATGGCACAGTGGAACGCCTCTGGGGCTCTCCTTATGTGCCCCCATGTCCTCATGACCCACAAACCAACGTCTCCTCCAAAGACATCAACATCTCACACAACCCCAGTATCTCAGCTCGCCTCTTCCTCCCTCAAAACCAAATATACCAAAAACCCCAACACCTTCTCCCCATCTTAGTTTACTTCCACGGTGGTGGGTTTTGCTTTGAATCCGCCTTCTCATCTGACCACCACCGTCTCCTCAACCGGTTGGTCTCACAAGCCCAAGTCCTCGGCGTCTCCGTTGAGTACAGGCTTGCCCCAGAAAACCCACTTCCCAATTGTTATCAAGATTGCTGGGATGCTCTTCAATGGGTCTCTTCTCACAGAACCCACAAAGAATTAGATGCTGACAATACTAACAAAGAGCCATGGTTGGTCAATTATGGCAATTTTGATAAATTGTACATAGGTGGTGACAGTGCAGGTGGTAACATTGTCCATAATGTAGCCATGAAGGCAGGGGTTGAGAGATTGTGTGGGGATGTGAAAATTCTGGGGGCATTTATGTCACATCCTTATTTCCTGGGATCCAAGCCAATTGGGTCAGAGCCTAGAGGTGAAGACTTTGAGAAGTGGCTGCCTTGTAAAGTTTGGAAATTTTTGTACCCATCAGCACCTGGAGGGATTAATAATCCGATGGTCAATCCGGTGGGGCCGGGTGCACCAAGCCTGGCTGGACTCGGGTGCCCTCGAATGCTCGTGTGTGTTTCTAGCAAGGATGAGTTGAGGGATCGAGGTGTTTGGTATTATGAATTGGTGAAGGAAAGTGGGTGGAGAGGAGAGGTGGAGGTGTTTGAAGTGGAAGGAGAGGAACATGCTTTTCACATCTTGGTTGAGGCTGAGACTGTGAATGTCAAGATTATGATAAAACGCTTGGCTTCTTTTCTTGTTTAGTAGAAATGTGAATTTGCTCATGTGTTGAATTCATTGTTGACGGCTGCTTTTCAATTCAATAATATAGAACTATTAGGATTGGTCGTCAGATTTTGAGAATCTTGTGCAAAACTTAAATTGGAGCTCTCACATAATCTAATACAAAAACACTATAATATTTTTTTTGTCATGACTGAATATCATAATTACTTTAAAAGATTTCAACATTTATAGAAGTTTGGTAAACTCATCTAACATATATATATATATAGGACTTCATTTCATTTATTAATCAATGGCATAATCTCTATATTATTATCAGTTTATGTAATTTTGAAATGAATTCTATTACTATCGGGTTTTAGAAAAGGTCTTTTATATTTTTTAATAAAAACTTTGAGGTGTCTTGATAATCTTTCATTTATATCTGTCTTATTTTTTGCTACGATATACTAATTATGATGGGTTGAGGGTATAAGACCCGTTCTGTATTATTGGATTGTTGGTGAATGGGATATGTGGAGGGCGTGAGGCCCCGTCGAAGTTTTGTTGGTTGATGTGTAATCTCAATCTCGCGTTAGTAGTCCTTTGCATCCATGAATGAGAATGAATAGTGGATGACTAGTCATAATCTCACCTTTTATCAAGGAAACGACAGCTATAGAGTCACATTTCACTTTAATTCTTCAGATACCCTCATTCCAAATCAGGAGTAAATCCTTAGGGCTCGTTGGTACATCGGATTATACTGACTAATTTCTATCAAATAGTATTAATATATTCCGGAGAGTACTGACTGTTTATCCATAATATTATAAGGCGTTTGATCCTATCCAGATTCTAATATGGTGTACCAAACGCGCCTTTGAAGACACCCCATAAGTGAGCTTAAATAATTTTCGTGCCCCAAATTTGTAAAAAAAAAAAAAAAACCACTTATCCAGAGACCAATATCCCTTATGAGATCTCCATCACTAATAATACCCATCTTCCCCTTGTATTGGCTTCTTGAAAAATAGTGTGTTTTAACATACACATACTAAATAAATAGTGTGCAAAAATAATTCATAAAAAACACAATAAGAAAAACTTCTACACACTTATCATACTGTCATTGACATGAATGTAGAAGTTTCTACTTACATATGAAGGAGGGAAGTATTTCCTAAAAAATAAAAGAGTTTTGTCCTAAAATAGCCCTTTTGTAAAACACTTATTTTGTAATGGGAGCATTTTTGCTCACCATTTTAACTCAATGCATACCCTTACCATCATCTTTAACACTTGACACATGTCCATAGGCATAACCATAATTTCATAAATACAAAACAAAAATTAACTATGATTATGCCTATTGACACGTGTCAAGTGTTGAAGATAGTGATGATAATACACCTTGGGTTAAAGTTGTGAGCAAAAATATTTTCATTTTGTAATTCCCAATATGTCATTCCAATATGACCACACACTATCTCTTATTTGCTTAGATGGCCCTCATTTAAATACCCACCCACATAGCAGCATCAATGTCCCAAATTTTCATTTTCTCAAAACTAGAATTAGGGCTCTCATTCTCTCTGCCTCCTCGTGCTTCACTCAAAACTAGAATTAGGGCTCTCATTATCTCTGCCTCCTCGTACTTCACTCCTCCAAAATGTCCGCCATGACATTGATCCAGAAGCTAGTTAAGCCTTTTGGTTTGGAATTGTTGGCTTAGTTGCAATAGGGAGGAGGGTCTTCACCCAACCCTCAAACCCTCGACAAAATCATATCCATTGGCTTCTTTGGACTTTGGTATTAAGATTCACGCAGTTGTTATAAAGTTGGGTTTGTGTTCTAATGTCTATATATGCAGTGCCTTCATTGATATGAACGGAAAATATGGCCCGTTGGTGAATGCCAAGAACAATTTGAATGTCTCACATAAATGTAGGGGGCATTTGGTATCCTATTCAAATAGGAAACTTAAAAACTTTGATTTTTTCTTAAAATCAAGGAGTTCTTAAATCTATTTTTAAGATTCAAAAACTTGTTTGGTATACAACTGAAAACTGTTTTCAAATATAAAAAATTTGAGAACTTGTGGGTTGTTAGAAAAAACTGAAAAAACAGATATTTTTTGTTTTTAATAATTGGGGTGTTTTTTTATTTGTTCTTAAGTTTGAGTTTTTAAAAATATGGTTACCAAACAGGTTTTTTAATTATTTTGGACTCAAATTTTGTTTTTAAGTTTAAAAAATTGGATTCAAGTTGAATACCAAACATGCCCGTAGTAACTTGGAATTCTTTGCTTACGTTGTGGGTTTGCTTCTTCTTTGCTGGAGGAGTGGAGCACGAGGAGACAGAGACAACGAGAGCTCCAATTGCAGTTTTGAGAAAATGAAAATAGGGTCGCTATTGGGACATTGCTGCTATATGGGTGAATATTTTAAGGAGGGGATCTAAACAAATATAAGATAGCGTATGGTCATTTTGGAATGACATATTAGGAACAGGGGAGGTTTTGGGCACAAGTTAGTATGAAAATTGTATTGGTATTTCCTAAACTCTAGCATAGGTCGGGAATTAGTGTGTTAGTATCTTTTATTGGAAGTTTGGCGCAACACATTCAATCTCGGATTTTCGAAGTATGACTTGATCGATATGAGGAACTTGATTTCAGATAAATCATGATATAATGATGTATTCATTATAGGATTCATAGTTGGAGTTATTTTCACTCAAGTGCTTTTATATTAATCCTATTTTTAATAGGATTAGATTTTATCTCTTGAGATTTTTTTCTAGTTGGACCTTATTTTGGTTTAAGTAAAAATATCCTTTTTCATAATTGACTTGGAGAGCATGTTTCTTTTAATACCAAATTAGTTTCATATGGTTTCCTTGTATAAACTAATGGGATGGGAAGTTTGCATGGGCTGACGAAATTGAATAGGATCAAATCTCATATATTACAAGATATTGATCACGTGGACTTCTCTTGAAAATAGGAGAATGTGGTCTGTATAAAAATGGCGTGCCTCTCCTTAGTTTTGATACAGGTTTGATATATTTCTTTTGAGCATATAGAATTCTTAAGAAAAGTTGTTGTGCATATCCTTGAGATAAGTCATCAAGTGTTCCATGTTTTCTTGGTGATTTATCAAATACTTTTATCATTCATATTGCATTTATTTGCATATTCAGTGATTCATACGGTTGAGGGCACCAAGACCGTTGTGGCGCTTTGTATCCGGCGAGCTTGAAGCAATCGTGACCAGTATTGCGTTTAACATAAGGAGTGTCGAAAGATCATCCCGTGACAGAAGTTGAGTTACGAAGAAGTCGGTAAACATTATCTAGAATGTGTCTAGGATAAGTGTGTGAGTACTTCTTGTAATTATCGTTCTATAGTGGATTTGTTTTGGATTGAGGAGTCCTGTGGATTTTTTCTAGAGGTGGGGTTTTACCATGTAAAATAATTCTCTGCGTATTCCTTTATTTTATGCTCAGCACGTTTCAAGATTGATAACCATATCAATCCTGCTACCGAAATTTATTTTTATTTGTTGATTATAATTTTGAATTGGCTTATTCACCCCCCTCTAAGCATTATTAATCATCCTACAGGTAATTTCACCCACTCATTGGAATAAATAAAAAATTGAACTTGCCTAAATACTTAATTCAAAATTCAAAAAGGAAACTCAATAAAGGCCACTTATTATAGCATAAATCAATTAGGAAATCAAATACATATATTTATCATTAACGCCAAAACCCTACAGTATAGCAAGTATAGCAGAGAATAGAGATTTCCACAACCCACCAAAAAAGCAAGAACTTGATAATTGAATATTGAAATAAGAGGTTTTGATAGCATAGAAGTTGTGTGATACAACATAGCCATTTAATCTTATATTTTTTTAAAATTGAAATATGTGAGTATTGTTGTTGTTGTAATTGTGGTGCTATTACTTTCATTGTTGACCATTGAATTTCGATAAACTATGTCACAAGAACAATTGAATAGCTTAGTTATGTTGTCCATTAAAAAGGACGTGATAGAAAAATCTTGATTATGTAAATCAAAAAATGCAAGACGAGTGATATTTTGATGTATTTTATAAATTTTTAATATAAATTACATATTATTTCTTTCTTTTATGTTATAATTGTGAATTTGAGTTCATATAAATTTATTTTAGCTTACCAAAAAAAAAAACATAATATACATATAAAATAGAATGCCCTATTTAGGTTGTTTGCATAGGGTCTCCAAAAACGTAGGACCGCCGCTGATTAAGAAGTGGCTATTACATTATTTACATAATAAGGGCTCGTTTGGTACGTCGGACTGTATTGACTAATTTCTGTTGAATACAAATTTATAAATAAACCAAATCCTAGACATGTATTTATAAAAAAACCCAAGCACTATTTAAACATAGAAACACACCCAAAATCAACCCCAAAGTCAACTTTTTGGGTGTGTTTATAAATGGGTTTTGAGTGTGTGTAATGATGGGTTTTGGGTGTGTTTATAAAGTGTTTTGGGTGTTGGGTTTTTTTATAATTTCAACCTCTATTTTGGGTGTTTTAGTGAAACTCTCTAATATTAATATATTCCGGAGGGTACTGACTGTTTATCTATAATATTATCCCATATAATTTTTGTCCAAAATCTCATCTTGGACTCAATATGTGGGACTGCCCTTAAATCAATATTGGGAAATTTCTCAGCCATTGATTTTTCAATTTTGTTCATTGTTCCACATTTAAAGGAACCATTATCACATCGTAAACCATGGTTGACTACATCTTCAAGTATGGTCAACAATACGTCTTCCTCATGTGCTTTCCACACCCTTCTACTTCCTTTTGATTGACTAGACTGTCCACTCTCCATTCCTACATACAATATAATTTGCATATATATGCAAGAATCACAATCTAATCTAATAATAAAGTATGTCACAATCTTCTTGTCATTCATATCTAGGCACAATATAAAGGAAAAAAAAAATAGTAAAACTAATATAAATAGAAGGGAAGATACCAAAATATTTAACATGACTGGACAACTTTTTAAATGGGTTGGGTAGGTTATTGAAATACAAGTTAGTTATTGGCTTTCAGTAGCTTTGCATCCAATTTGTTGTTCTTCTAGAATCTGCAGCTTTTTCCATGCATCAAAGTGAAATTAAAACTTCAGCACAAAGACAGTGAACTGGATATAAGAGTACTTCTATCCATTTGTCATGGCAAAGGGTAAGAGCAACTCTAGCGGAGGGCTGAGCCCAAGGCTGTGGGGAGAAAAAAAAACGACATTCCAGCTAAGAGCCCGAGCTCAGGTTGGGAGTGGGACCCACGAAGTCGGGCTGGCCCTCAGGCTAGTTCAGCCCGAGCTCAAGCCTCAGGGCTGGTGACATCATGCGCGACGTCAATGCGTGGGTTTAATTTTTTTTACCATTGGCGCTTACAATGCATGCGCCAACAGTAAAAAAAATTTAAACTTGCGTGCGCTGACGTCAGCCCTGCGCAAGCTCCAACGGGTAGAAGACATGTGTCAAGCCCTGGGCACTCCGATATGCTTCTCCTCCTCCAATCCAATGGCTGTCATATTTTTGGCAATAAATTTATGAAAAAAAAATTGATTTTTTTTTCCAAAAACACAAAAAAATTCTGATTTTTTTTTTCTATAAATACCTATCAATACCCTTCACTTAAAAAACCAATCGTCATACATTTTGTTCTACTTCTATTATTTTTCACTCTTTATACTCAACATTTTCCTCTCTTTCACCTTGTATTTTTAGTTCTTATTTTTATGGCTTCTTCTATCGAAACTGGAGGGGCGTGGAGCACCATGGAAGATGTTTCCTTATCTGAGGCTAGGCTCCAAGTTTGTCATTGTCCCGTGTCAGGCAATGAGATGAAATTTTTTCGTATGTGGAAAAAAATTCATGCCGAATTTTGTGAAAAAAATTTCAAGGTCGACTCATACGGAAATGACATTGTCTAGTAGGTGGAAAATTCTCAATAAAAAGTTGGGAAAATGGAGAGATGCATTGGCAAAAGCGATGGACAACCATAGAAACGGGGAAAATCTTAGTGACGAGGTAAGTATTTTGTAATTTTCGTTTTATTAAGTTTAATGTCATAATATATATATTTTAATATTTATTGCATTTTCAATATTTTGTTGTATTTTCAATATTTTGTTAATATTTCTTGCATTTCCAATTGTTTCTTAATATTTCTTGCACTTCCAATTTATTTGTAAGGTTAAGTGCATTTCCGTTAAATTTTTTTTTGTTACTTGCATATCCAACATATTTTAAATATTTCTTGCATTTCCATTTTTTTTTTAAATAGATGATTCAAGCACAAATGTGGTTTGGTGCAACTGGGCAAGGCAAAAAAAGTTTCAACCATCATGAATGTTGGGTGGTGGTGAAATATTGCAAACGTTTCAGAATTATTCCCACGGGTTCTGCCATTGTGTTAAACGAGACGCCACTCCGTGATTCAATGACATCGGATTCACCTCTCGATTCCCCTAGGAGTCAAGACTCACCCATCGAAAAGGAGCCGAGGCCCATTGAGCGAAAGGCTGCGAAGGCAAAGAAAGCGAGTAATTCGAGCAATAATAATTCAAAATTTTTGGAGAAAATTGCAAGGTAGAACGCCATAAGAATTGAAATGGAGCAGAAACGCCAAGATAACGAGATGGCAATTCAAGCCGAGTATGCACGAGAAAGGGAGTATTTGTGCAAAAAGGATATGGACAAGACGGATCGGAAAACCATGGCGATGGATACAAGCCATATGTCCCCTGAAACAAAACAATTTTGGAAGCGAGAAAGAAGGGATGTTATAAGAAGAACAATTTTCCAGGGTAATGGGCCTAGCAACACGGATTGGTTAAATCATGAAAACCATTAAATTAGTTGGCATACCTTTTATGTATTTGTACTTTTCATGTTTTCTATTAAAGTTGTTGTAATTCTTAATACTTGTATTGGATTTCTTTATTTAATAAACAAAGCATTCAATAAAATACCTTTTTATTCAATATATTCCATACATCAAACAAAACATAATTAAAATAAATAAAAAAAACTACAAACAAGGCACAATAATAATAACAAACCACAACCAAACCATAATAAATAAAAAACAACACAACCAAATCATAAACTAAATAAAACATAACCAACGCATCTATGCTCCATCATTCATCTTCATTGCCTTTCACCGCCTATAGATGCTCCATCAAGTCAACCTGACGCCTGTTACGAATATACGAAGTTTGCATCTCTATATATCGATTTATCATCCGAGTCATGAAACGACCATCCCTCACCAACGGTTCCGGCTCAAACGGTTCTCCACTTGGCCCCATGGGCTTTTCATAAATTCGTGTCAAGGTCGTGTTCATTGGATCCGGTTCGTAGACCTCTAAAGCATCATAATCGTACTCATCCTCCACAATCATATTATGAAGGATGATGCAAGTCATCATAATGCTTCTGAGGATCTCCTCATCAAACATATGGGCCGCACCTCGAATAATCAACTACCGAGCTTGAAGGATGCCAAAACATCATTCGACATCTTTCCTGTATCTTTCTTGATAGGTACCAAATAATTTTTGCTTCTGGGATCAGGGATTCGGAATGGATTTGACAAAAGTGGTCCACCTCGGGTAAATGCTGTCAGCTAGATAATACCCCGTCTAATAGACTGTATTGTTGACTTGATAGGTGATCTTGGGGCCTTGGCCTCTCAAAACATCGTTGAAGACCGGGGATTGACCTAGCACGTTGAGGTCATTTTGGGATCTGGCAACTCTAAAGAAGGCACGCCAAACTCATGTGTCGAAGCCAGCAACGGCTTCTAGGATGATACTTTTTTGGCCTTTTTTTTTCCGTAATCACCTTGCAAGGCAGTTGGGCAATTGTTCCATTGCTAGTGCATGCAGTCAATGCTACCAATCATTCCTGGAAATCCTAAAGCTTCCGCTTTTTGTAGAAGCCGTTGGAGGTCCCTAGGAGTAGGTCTATGCACGTAGTCCTTAGTATACAGATTTTCAACTGCATCACAAAATCTTACCAAAGCCTCCAATGTAGTGGACTTCCCCATCCGGGCAATCTCATTCACCTGATCAGCAGATGCTCCATACGCCAATTTTCATATAACAGTTGTAAGCTTTTGCTCCGGAAGAAGTACCAAAACCCCAGTAGCATCACACTTTTGAACAAAGTATGCATCATAATTGCAAATATCATGCATGACTTTAATGAACAAATGAGATTGCATTCTAAATCGCCTTCGAAAATCAACATTATAGTACAAAGAAGTTGGGATAAAATAATCTTCCAAAAGATTCTTACCCCGAGAATGCATATGTCTGTCCACATTCCGGCGACGACCGAGTTGTGAACCACGACAGCGACCTTGGTTCTCTTCATCTTGCAAATCCATTGCTATGAGAACTTGTTCATCGACTTGTCTTTACAACTCATTGATTTCATCTGCTCTACGGTTTCTCTCATTTCTTTCTCGCTCTTGCCTCTCCAAGCATCTCCTATATTCTTCCATTGAAAATGAACGGAGTATGAATTCTAAACTCTAAGAAATGAAAATATAGAAAGATGTGGTGTGAGAGGTATGAGCTGAGCCTCTGGTTTTATAGAAAACTTTGACAAGACAGAGATGCCACATGGCTTGATTTGATTGGATGAAAATCTTATTTGAAATTTGAAATTCATTCGAAATTTGAACCCAAATTTATTTGAATTTTGAAATTTGAAATTCATCTGAAATTTGAACCCAAATTTATTCGAAATTTGAATTTTGAAATTCATCCGAAATTTGAACCCAAAAATTTATCTGAATTTTGAATTTTGAAATTCATTCGAAATTTGAACCCAAAAATCTTATCCGGTAATTTTATCTGATTATGAATAGTCTTGACACGTAGGAACCCGGAAATCTTATCCGAAAATAGTATCAAAATTAATTATTGAGGTAAAAAAATTTGTGAAAAAAACAAAAAAATGAATAGTAACTGCCCTTAGCCATGGCAACAGGTCGAAACACAAAATACTATTTGCAATGGCAACCACTATTCACATGAATAGTAGCTGCCCTACCTCCCCCTTGTCATGCCTAAGAGCACTTCCAGCAGCCCACTCTGGCTCGGGCTGGGGGGGGGGGGGGGGGGCCCAAAACGCCATTCCAGCAACAAGTGCTGGCCTAGGCAATGTGGGGTCCACTTGCCTGGGCTGGCTTGAAGGCAAGCTGACGTCAGCAGGCGCAATTTTTTTTTTCTTTCAGCTACCACGTGGCTCGATCTGGTCCTTCCGATTTTTGAATTTTCATCCAATCCAACGGCCTAGAATTTTTCAAGGCAAAAAATTATGAAAAAAAATCGTGAAAAATTTTAAAACAACCCCAAAAAATACTGAATTTTTTTCTATAAATACCAATCCATACTCTTCACTTTTAACAACAAATTCACTTTCTACTCAATAATTTTTTCACTTTCAACTCTAAATTTTTTTCACTTTCAAGTTTAATTATTCACTTTCTACTCAATAATTTTTCACTTTCAACTCTAAATTTTTTTCACTTTCAAGTTTAATTATTCACTTTCTACTCAATAATTTTTTCACTTTCAACTCTAAAAATTTTTCACTTTCAAGTTTAATTTTTCTCTATCAAAGAAACTATTAAATAAAATTCCTTTTTATTCAAAACATTCCATACATAAAAAAACTAACCACAACCAAAGCATTAAATATATAAAAACAAACAAACCGCAACCAAAGCATAAAAAAAACCAAACATAACTAAACATAAAACATAAACATTAAAATCTTAAAAATGTTCTTCACTTCACTTCATTCACCGTCCTTGCCTTTCACCGCCCATAAAAACTCCATTAAGTCAACTTGACGGCGTTCATGAATATATGAAGATTGCATCTCTGTATATCGATCAATCATACGGTTTATGAAAAGACCATATCTAACCAACGGTTCATGCTCCACTGGTTCTCTATTTGGCCCTATTGGTTTTTCATAAATTCGGGTCAAGGCCGTGTTCATGGGATCGGGTTCGTACACCTCTTCAGCTTCGTAATCATACTCATCCTCCACAATCATGTTATGAAGGATGATGCATGTCATGATGATGCTCCTCAACACCTCCTCATCAAACATACGTGTCGCACCCCTAATGATCGTCCACTGAGCTTGGAGGATACCAAAGCACCTCTCCACATCCTTTCTGTAACCCTCTTGATATGTAGCAAATAATTTTTGCTTTTGGGTTCGGGGATGCGAAAGTGATTTCACGAATGTTGTCCACCTCAGGTAGATCTCGTCAGCTAGATAATACCCAGTTTGGTAGATGGTATTATTGACTTCATATGTGATTTTTGGGGCTTCTCCTCTCAAAACATCATTGAACACCGGAGATTGACCCAGAACGTTCAAGTCATTTTGAGATCCAGCAACTCCGAAAAAGGCATGCCAGACCCATGCATCGAAACCTGTAACGGCTTCAAGGATGATGCTTTTTTGGTCTTTTCAATTTCCGTACTCACCCTGCCAAGCAGTTGGGCAATTCTTCCATTGCCAGTGCATGCAGTCGATGCTACCAATCATTCCTGTAAATCCTCTCCATTCAACTTTCTGCAGAATTCGTTGCAAGTCCCTGGGCGTGGGTCGCCGCAGGTAGTCCCTGGTGTACAAAGTTTCGACTGCATCACAAAATCTAACCAAACTCTCCAAGGCAGTGGACTTCCCCATCCGGTCAATCTCATCCACCTGATCAGCAAATGCACCATACGCCAACATTCGTATAACAGCTGCGAACTTTTGTTCGGGAAGCAGTCCCAAAACACCAGCACAATTTCTCTTTTAAACAAAGTATTCATCATAATTGCAAATATCATGCATGATTTTATTGAACAAATGTTGTTACATTCTATACCTCCCTCGAAAATGAACATCAAAGTACAGAGATTGTGGGGCACGGCCTTCATGTGAACCACGACTGCTCTGGTTTTCTTCATCAAGCATGGCCACAGCCATGACAAGTTGCTGATCTAGATCTCTCTGCGCTCTTTTGCTTGCTGCTCGTCTACACCTTTTTTCTCTTATTTCTCGCTCTTGCCTCTCCAAGACCTCCTTCATGTCTGACATTGTGAATGGAAGATGAAATATGAAATTTAAAATATGAGAACTGCAATTTTTGAGAAGATGTAGTGTGAGAGGTTTGTGAGCTGGGCCTTTGTTTTATAGAAAAATTTAGGTCGATAGACATGACATGTGGCGCAAGTTGATAGGATGAAAATCTTATCCGAAATTTGAAATTCAAATGAAATGTATCTGAAATGTGAAATTCAAATGAAAAGTTGAAATTCAAATGAAATTTATTTGAAATTTGAAATTCAGATGACACGTGGCGCAATTTTATAGGGTGAAAATCTTATCCGAAATTTAAAACTCGGATGAAATTTATCTGAAATTGAAATTCAAATGAAAAGTTGAAATTCAAATGAAATTTATCTGAAATTTGAAATTCAGATGAAATTTATATGAAATTTGAAAAAAAAAAAATTATCTGAAATTTGAAACCGGAAATCTTATCTGAAAATCTTATCCGAATATTTTATCAAAAATTCTCATCCGAAAATATTGTCCAAATTAATTGTTTAGATAAACAAATTTGTGAAAAAAAACAAAAAAATTGAATAGTACCCCCTTGCCATGGCAACTGCTGGAAGTGCAATTTACTTTTTGCAAGGCCAACACTATTTCCGTGAATAGTGTCAGCCCTAGCCCCCCCTTGCCATGGCAAGAATCCAACTGCTGGAAGTACTTTAAGGGCAAATGGGTGGAGTTGCTCTAAGGGCAAGACAAGGGTTGTTACTAGTGGCAACCCTTGTAAAATGCTTGTTGTGTTTCCACCCATTGCCGTGGCAAATGACAAATACTATTCACTTTATTTTATTTTTTTTTACTTAAACGATTAATTTGGAGAAGATTTTTGATTGCCACGTATCAATATTTGTTATAAAAATTAGAATGAATTTTTCGGATAAGATTTTCTATATGAGATTTTCACATGGGATTAATTTTATTCATATGTATGAAATTAATAATAATAAAATTGATGGGTATGTATTTAAAAAAAAAATTGAATTTTTGGATTTAAAAATAAATATCTACGTTGCTGACATCAGCTAGCCCAGGCACACGAGCTCGGGCTCGTTTTGCCTTTGGGCCTGCCCGGTTATGTGGGACCCACCAATTGCCCAGGCAACTGAAGCCCATTGGAACTCGTGCCTAGGGCTTGGGCCCCCTCATGCTTGGGTAGTTCAAATCGCTGGAAGTGCTCTAATGTGTTTTGTTTAGAATATCTAGGAACTTCAACAGAGAGGCTAAAACGTTCCACAACTAAAATGATATCGATTCTTTAATGTTATGTCCCACACTACCATGAGTGACCATATAGAATGTATCCTCAGGTATTATTCGCTAAATGTATCCTCATGTATTGTTCTAATCCTAATGTATTAAATTACTATATCACAAACAAATAATTAAACATTCGACTAAAAAAAAGGTCAAAAAGGAAAAACTCATAACTTAATTTTCACAAAAATTTAATTAAAAAAAGAAAGAGAAGATGACAGAAGAAGAGAAAAGAAGTATATTGAAGAGTGTATGAGATAGAGATGGATATCCGGAGAAAAGTGAAGAGAATAATTTGTGGAGAAGATAGCAAAAAAGAACCCTAGGAAGAAGAAGATGAAAATGGTGTCTAATTTTTCAGTGAATATGTGTGTTCTTTTTCTCTAGCTTTGTAATTAAGTGTGTATTATCTAAACTGGGGTATATGAGTTATATTAGTTAGTAAAGTAAGGAGAGTATTAAAAATACAACTCATTTAAAATAGTAGGTATTAAATAATACAAATTGACACCAGACACCTAACATAGACTATTTACTCCTATCCATAATTTAATACAATGTAACAAACATACACCAGTTTCGCAAACCAAAAAGGGCCTAATGGCTAAGACTATTTACAAATGGGCTATTTTAGCCAATTTCGCAAACAGAAAAGGGCCTAATGGCAAGAACACCACAGGTGTTAGCAAATAATCGAGTTGCACGGACGATACATTTTCCTCTGGGTGACCATCTCACTGTTGTGTCACAAAGTAATCAGAGCCGTCCACTCGATCAAAAACCCTAATTCCCTCGCTCATATATTATTTCCCAAACTCTCTCTCGCGCCTCTTCGAGCTCACAATCACTTACACACAGAGAGCCACCAAAAGCCCTAAACAAGGAGATCCAAAACCCAGAGCAGCAACCATGGCGACCCCAGCTATAGAGTCCGTTCAGTGCTTTGGCCGAAAGAAGACGGCGGTGGCAGTGACCTACTGCAAGCGGGGGCGCGGCCTAATCAAGATCAACGGCTGTCCGATCGAGCTGGTGGAGCCTGAGATCCTCCGGTTCAAGGCCTACGAGCCGATCCTTCTGCTCGGACGACACCGTTTCGCCGGCGTCGACATGAGGATCCGTGTCAAAGGTGGAGGCCACACGTCTCAGATCTACGCAATCCGCCAGAGCATCGCCAAGGCCCTTGTGGCGTTTTACCAGAAATATGTGGATGAACAGAGCAAGAAGGAGATCAAGGACATCTTGGTCAGGTACGACAGAACTCTCCTCGTCGCTGATCCCAGGCGCTGCGAGCCCAAGAAGTTCGGTGGTCGCGGTGCCAGAGCTAGGTTCCAGAAGTCTTACCGTTGAGAGATACTCAGCTCACCTTTTTTCCATTTATGTTATTTACTGTCATTTCCAATGATCTTATCACTGTTTTGGCTTAATTTCTAGTTTTGAGTTTTGTTATGGATTTTTGAAGTGTTTGGTAAAACCTTGGTTTGGATATTTATGCTTAGTTATATTTTCATGCTATTTTCAGGAAAGATTTAATCTTTCTTGGGTTCTATCTATTTGTGGTGTTTGATTCTTAGTCATTGTTCTATTCACTTGAATGGGTTTTTAGTGCCCATTGCCTTTTACTTCATTTGGTGTTCAAATTCAAAATGTTATCTGAGCAACTGATAACATGATCTTTTTTAATGAACCCAAATGCCTTATTGAGCTTACCTTGCTGTTCATTGTTATGGAATAACAATTCAAATAATTTCATAGAACCAAACCTGGAAAATGTTTCTCTTGGTCATGGAGTTTGTGCCTTAAAGTTCAAGATTGGCTCTGATAGCATGGTTAGGCTAGTTGGAGTAGCTTAAGGTTTAGGCATTTCATTTGATCTTTGCCCTAGAACAAATTGGAAATGCATTTGACTATCACAATTCAGAACCCTGGCCTTAGGTTTTGCAGTCTTGGATGATGGATAGCAGGCTTTATCTGAGTCTTTACATGGACTCTGAGTAAGTTGCTTTTTCCGTTTGCCAAATGCTCTTTTTCAGACAATGTAAAATGCAGTGTTTGCGTTCTGTGTTAAATGTGATGTCCAACAGACAAAGTAATTCTTGTCAACTTCCGGGAAAACCCTTTATTAGATGTCTAAATTTATGCCTCACCAGGAGGACAACTTACCCCTAAACGGTTTCATATGCCACTCCCTCTGCATCTAGAAATTCCGAGAGAGAGTCGGGGTATGAAATTGAAGTCTGTTGCAAGTATGGAGGAATGATTCTCAGATACTGCATTTTCACTCACTTCGCGTATATAGTTTTCTAAGGTTATTGTCAGTCATTATCTTCTTGTGAAGCTTGGCATGGCACAACGTGGGAGGGTGAATCAAATGGAAGGCAAAACGGTGGGGTGGGGTGGGAAGTTTTGGGGAGAATGAAAATTTGTACATTAATTACGTGGCAGCGTGGTAACCTTTAGATCATTTTGAATGGTCAAGCTCAAAGGTCTTATATAGTCTCGTATGAAAGAAAACTGGTAGAGAATCCCAGATAATATATATTTTCCTTGGCTAGTTTCTTCAAGATAATGTGTTTTAGGGGTGCTGAATTTCAAGAAAATGTTGAGGATTGTGTTTTATGCTAGACTAGTTTTGAACTTTTCTTTTGGGGGTGACATTTTTGAAGTTTATATCACACGCCAATTATAATGATTCAAATTTATCCATTGGGTAAGCCTATATGTTTATAATTTTAGCAAAGAACCATAAAGCATAACTTGTTTGTTTCTTTGTTCATTACGAAAACAATTGTTTGTTCGATGAGACATGAGAATTTTTTAGTCAACAACAAATATTGAATTGAAAATTCAGGATTGTGATTGAACCAATTCAAAATCCTTCTCGTTTTAACATCATGTTAATCTGAATTTTGAATTCCAAATTTTCGGAGGTTGGAATACAAGTCAAACAAAAAATGTAGTGGAGAACTTTGTAATGTGATTTTCATATCCGAAATATGCTGAACAATCACCATATTTTGCAAATACCCTCTGTATTTTTGTTCCACACTCTTAGAGCAAGTCCAGTGTTGCTGGTTTGCCCGGGCAACAGGGGACCTAGGCCCATCTTTTGGCTCCGGCGCACAAAGGCAAGACCAGGCAATTGATGGGGGCCACAAGTCTGGGCATGCCCAAAGGCAAATCTTGCCTGGGTTTGCTGATGTCATTGATGACGTCAGCAACTAAAAAAATTGAAAAAAATACCATAATTTTCATAATTTTTTTATATATATAAATACCTAGTCCTATTTTTCAATTCTCATGCAAAAATTAAAGTTTAAATATAAAAAATATAAAATAAATAGTAATTGTCATTGCCCTAGCCTTTTGGGGTGGAACCAAACAAGGCAAGACTACCACTATTCACATGAACAGTGGCAGCCCTTGCCTTGCCTTAGCCTTTTGGGGTGGACTTGCTCTTAGGCCATCTCTCCAACCCATGAAGCCAAACCCAAAATATCCCATATTTTAGCCCATTTTGTCTCACAACCCAAGAAAATTTAGTTGTCAAAATTTGGACAACCCCAAACTTGGGGTCAAATACCAGTCCAGCTATTGTTTGGACTAGAAAACCTTTTGGTGGAGCTCACTCATGGCTGACGCAACCCATGTGCAAGTAAGATTTTGTGGGCCCTTCACTATTGTTGTGTTGCAGTTGTTGTCTCACCACGTGGCAGCAGCTGGTGATTCAAACATCTATTTTTTTATTTAATAATTCAAATAGTAACTCAAATAAACGATCCATTCTAAATCCAAGCTATTTTAAAGGTAAAGAAAAGATCCAACAGTTGAAATTTAAATCTAACAATCAAAATAATATTTTTAATTAATTTAAATCAAATCCAACCCTAAAACTTACTCCAAACTCTATAAATATCAATTCATTTCTCAAATAATCTACCAAAAATATTTTTTCTATTTCTCAATTTATTTCATCAATCTCCTTTCATTCTTGTGAAGATGTCCACAAAACTTATTTAAGAAGAGTACTATTGGTTGTCAAACACATCATCTTCTTCATTCTCATGCTTTCATAGCATTTCAAGGTTTTAATGGAAAATTGTGGCAATGCCATCTTTTCCTATATGTTTGGTGATGATTTAGATAATGAAGAACATCATCAGAGGGTGCAAGCCATTGTCCACCATACTTCACTAGAGAATGAAACCGCTCACCTCCCCAAACATGGTGGGTCGGTAGTCGGTCATAAGTACAAGAACCGTGAGAGGAAAGATCATCATCGCAATCTCATGTCCGACTACTTCGTTGAAAGGCCACATTTTAATACTACGGACTTTCGTAGGCAGTTCCAAATGCGGAAAGAGTTGTTTTACCACATCTTGAATGATGTTGTCAACCAGCCATATTTTCACCCAAAAAAAAGACGAGCTTGGCCGACATTGGCTATCTCATGAGCACAAGTTAACTGATGTCTTTTGTATGCTTGCATGAGGATGTTTGGCAAACACAACCGATGAGTATTGTAGATTGGGTGAAAGCACAGGTCTTGAATCACTCCGTCAGTTTTGTTCCGTTGTTGAAGCCGTATATGTACAATGGTACCTTAGGTTTTCAAATCTAGCTGACCTTTACAGGCTCTTGCACAAGGCAAGCCATTGAGGCTTTCTAGGCATGTTAGGAAGTCTTGATTGCATGCACTGGGAATGGAAGAACTGGCCATATGCTTGGACATGCTAATTTACCGATAAAAAAAAGAGCCTAAAGTTGTGCTAGAGGTCGTGGCCTCGTACAACACATGGATATGGCATGTCTTTTTTGGAGCCGCTAGATCCAACAATGATATCAATATATTAGCTCGTTCCCCATTATTCAATGATGTGGTGCATGGAGTGGCTTCCCAAGGTTGAATATATTGTCAATGGAAATCAATACCATTTGGGCTATTATTTGGCAGACGGGATCTACTCCCGTTGGGCTACTTTGGTGAAGACCATCTCTTCTCCTGATAACCCAAAAAAGAGGCTTTTTGCACAAATGCAAGTAGTGTACAAGAAGGATGTTGAAAGAACATTTGGAATATTAAAAGCTCGATGGGCTATTATTTGGGGCTTGCACGAATATGTTACAAGGATAACCTGCACTTAATCATGATGACGTGTATAATTTTGCACATCATGATTGTGGATGATGAGTATGAATATATTGAAGAGGAATCTGATGATGAGGATACGTATCCACTACAATCCAGGAGGGCCACCGCAAGACAATATGAGCTGGAGGCAAGCATTACATAGGAGTACCACCAAGATAGGCAGACTCTCTGTGATTACATGATTCGTCATAATAGAGTTCGATCTCCACATGTGCGTCAGAGTCTCCGATATGATTTGATCAATCACCTTTGCAGGAGCCTTGGAGATAGTGAATGAGGTCAAAAATTGTTTCAATCATCCTTTTGTGTTTCAATTATGTTGGGTGTTTTCTTTTGGAATAAAATATTTTTTGTGGAATTTCAATTTTTTTTTAGGTCAAATTGTTAAAAATAAATAAATTATGAAGTTATTTAAAAATATTAAATGAAGAAAAGTTATCCATAAAAAAAAAAATTTAGACTTAAAAAATTCTTAAATAATTGAATAAAGTTGTGGACTTAAAATTTGAATATGAAGGGTTGGGGGAAAAACGGTTTGAGTCCGGACAAAACTCAAATAGTTACTTTTTGGAGGGGAAAAATTTACCAATTTACCCCTAAAACAATAATACCAGTAACCACTACCATTCCAGAAATGCGATAAAATCAAAGCCTAAATTTGTCATTCCCGTTTCCATGATTATTTATTGATTAATTGTTTGTATCCTAGCTAAACCCTACTTCCATTCCAACTGTCTTTACTTTCTGCCCAAGAAAAAGAGAAAAACTCTAATTTTTTCTATTTTTTCTATTCCAGTTAGCAAAACGAACACAGTATATGAGGACAGCAAATCATCAACAAACTCTATTCTTATTTCTTGACCATGAGTCATTGGGACTAAGATGAAGGGAATTCTTGGTAGTTGCTGGTTTGGAAGAAACTTTGTAACCGGATGCATCGATCTTCTATTAATTTTGATACCGCATCTTTTAATATTTTCGATTAAAGGTAAGTATTGTTGATTTGTTGTTACAATTTAATTTACTTGAATATATAACTGTATGAGTCAATTGTGATACTTGTTTGTTTGTGTTTTTGTTTTTGGTAAATAATACAATTTTGTGTTAATATATCTTGACTTCTTTGATACAATTCTTATGAACCATCTATGTGATGAGTTCAATACTTATATAATATTCAAATTTGTTACTAGGGTTGGAGAAGTCGAGGGCTAAGGGAAACGAGAAGCCAACCTTAATGGACCTACCCAACAATATCCTCCTCAACGTCCTTACAAGACTGCCGATAAAATCACTTTGTCACATCCGTAGCGTATCTAAGACCTCTCTAAGCATAGTTGATAACCAATTTTTTGCTAAGCTACATTTACGGATGAGGAAAATAAACTTGGGATTTTGA